CAAAAAGATTCTTTTCTGATTTCCATGTTTCCCAAAAAAACTTAAAAGTTTCACAGTACTCTTTATCCTTCAAAAGTTTAGTATTAAAGTGCCAGTAACAACTCTTCTGTTTGCTTTTAGACAGTATAAACCCAACTCTGATAAGTTTATGATCAGAAAGTGTATTGGGAATAATTTCCGTACTAGCAACTCTATTTTTTAAATTACAAGATATATAAAACCTATCCAAACGAGCAGCAGAAACCCTTTTGTTACAAAACCTCACCCATGTGTATTGTTTTACTAAAGGATTGTGTTCTCTCCATACATCCAGGAGATTCAGTTTTGTAATAACACCAGCTAACAAGGAAGCTGACGGTGCGTGAGATTCTTCCCCATTTCTGTCAAGAGTAAAATCAAGAGTGCAATTCCAGTCCCCCCCCACAACAATATACACATCTTCATCCTCTTCACTAACTATTTGTTCCAACTTTTTGAAAAGTGCATTCCTTTCTATTCCAACATTAGGAGCATATATATTTACAAACAAGAATTTATAATTACTAATTTCAGCTTTAACAGTTAAAAACCTTCCAGGCTCCTCTTCTTTTTTTTTAAGCACTTTAACATTTATATTTGGAGAAAAAAGAATAGCCACACCAGCACTTAAGTTGGTCCCATGACTGAGAAAATATTCTCCTTTCCACCACAGTCCCCAATTAACTTCATTACTACTACTACTATGAGTTTCTTGCAAGAAAGTAATACTCAATTCTTTCATATTAATGATTTCTGATAAAACCTCATTCTTTTTCCCATCCCTCATTCCATTTATATTAAGAGAGCCAACCCTTAAGATCTCCATAAGAAAAATAGAAAGAAGGGGAAAACAGATCAGATAGAAAAAGAACACCTCAACCATTGTAATTATTTAGATTTCCCCTTCGCTTTTCCCATCCTTTTTCCTGATCTAACAATAGTTAGGTACTTTTTAAGACGAAATCTTTTCTGTTGTGAAAGTTCATCATAGCTACTTTTTTTTCTAGCCGACATTACTGAGGCAATAAACTTTTCAGTATCCGGGAAATAATCACTTATTTCAACTCCCGCCTTTCCTTTTGTCTTATCCAGAAAAGAATTAATCTGTTCAAGAGGATATACATCTTCTACACCCTCCTTCAACTCCTCATCACCTCTCTTTCCCTCATCAGTATACTGTGATAAACCTTCAGTCTCATCATCCATTTTCTCCTCAGAACCACATTCCTGTACATTATCTTCATCATGATCAGCATCACTCTCATCATCTTCCTCTTCCTCACTCCCCTCTTTATCAGGTGAAAAAACACATCCAGGTTTCTGCACACAGCCAACATTCTTCTCAGTTACCTCACTCACCTCCTCCTGTTGTTCGTCTACTCCCTCTGTAGCTCCTTTATCTTGCTCCTCATTTCTCTCCTTTCCTGTGTTTTTCCCCGATTCTTGACTAACCGCTCCACCACGAGATGTAGAAGGGCGCTGCTCATCCTTATGTGGACACATTAAACGCTTATGTCCCAAATCGCCACACTCAAAACACTTCAAACTCACTGTACTCGCATAAACCATGAATGAGTTCTCTCCGTGAGTAACGCGAAAAGAAGCTTCTAAGGTCCTCTCCGGCGAGCTAAGAAACATGTAAACATGTCGCCTGAAAGACAAAACGTGCTTTAGTGCTACGTCCTTACATCCGAGGGGGACTGCTATTACCGGACTTGCGATCTTTCCAAATCTCAGTAACTCTTTCACAATAGCTTCGTTAGATATAAAAGGTGGGGCATTGGACACGATTACTTTGGTTGCTGGAGCCGACAGCGGGGTTACCGGGACAAAAGTCTCCTTCACCCATATTCCACTTACAATCAATTCCGTAACGAGTAGTTCAGTTTTCAAAAACACGACGACCGCTTTATTCATTCGCGACGCCGATACTATGTTTTCAAACCCAATTTCCTGACCGATAACTAAGAGCAAATCCTCCACCGTCACTCCAACCTCAGGAACACACCTGCATCCATTTCGGAGTGACAAGGGTGATTTACCCTGCGCGTGAGTAGTCGCCATTACGGCGACTACAAACCGCGCACGCACACACACACAAAAATTAACTTTCTCCCTACACTAATAATAATAAGGGGAACCTAAATAAGTACATAGAGAAAGTAAAAGAAACACCACATTCACTCACTGTCTCGAAAACTCGAACACTCGACACTCAATCTCACCACGCACTCCACAAACTCCCAGCATGCACCAGAGAGAGAGAGAGAGAGAGAGAGAGAGAGAGAGAGAGAGAGAGAGAGAGAGAGAGAGAGAGAGCACAACCTGCACCTCGACCACTAACTAGGCCCCATCTCTTGGGGAAAATGAAAGTCTAATCAATCCTTTTCATAGGATCAGCAGACAGTGGCTTCATTGATTGGATAGTTATTGTGACACATGTGGTGGCAGCAGACGTAAGGCTTCATGACTCCACGCTCCAGTGAAACATGGCTCATTTATGAGCCTATATTCTGCGCGACCTGCCTGCAGCCTCTGACAAAGTGGTTATGGATGTTGGCAATTTAATGGTAGCTTGTGTGTCTATGGGTGTCTGTGTGCATGTGTGTTTCCCCTTCTACTCTACAGGGAGTCAGCGACAGCAATATGGGTCTGGGGAGCCAATAAAATTTAAACGAGGTTGTAGTGGTGTGACATTAGCAATCTTTACAAACATTGTGGAGGTTTTGCTTGCTGACAGGACAATAAACCCAAATAAATACTGTTAACGCCAACGAAACCTTTGAATGATGAATAACTTCCTTGTTGCCCTGGAGACAGTGCATATTGACATTTCAGTTGAAGGTGAAATAGAATGAAACATAATTAAAGCGGAAGAAGTCAAGAGAAAGATCGTAAAAAAATGCATATGAGCACACTTAAACCTATTCTTCCTGCTCCTCAAGGCCAAGCATATGTGAAGCAGTTATCCAGATCTAGACTGATAGATACATATATCCTGCCATTTGTTTTCACTATACATTGTGTGATCCTAGGCTAGCACCCTTTCATTTCAAGATACATGCTTGTTGTACACATAGCACTTTAAATGTTGTGTTATGTTAAATGTTATGTTAAATGCAAAAATGTTTAGTCACATTTGACCACAATATATATATATATATATATATATATTGTGGTCAAATGTGACTAAACATTTTTGCATATAACATTGAAGGTATACAGTATATATACATACCCCACCCCCACCAATGCAAAAAGCACAATTACAAACAATGTGTTTTTGTTGTTCTGCACAAGATATAAAGTCACAGTTGAAAGAAATAAGTTCACAATTTTAACACAACTGGTCACATGTTACCTTAAATTATATGTTTATCTCTGTAAAGCTGCTTTGAAACAATTCATTGTTAAAAGCGCTATATAAATGAAGATGACTTGACTTGACTTGACATTGAGTGTTTTAATTAGATTTTTTTTTTACTCTGAGGGAGAGTAAAACAATGAGTATTTTTTTTCTAACAGCTGTTTCAAGTTTCAAGTTACAGGTTTTTTTTTTTGCAATCGCTAGGACAGGTCGTTTTTTCAAAACTCTTCCCACAGTTCTCCTATCCAACTTTCAACTTGGCACAGCAGTTTATTTCACATTCAAAATTCAAACTACCAAAACACTTCATACATGTCTCAAATCAACACATTCTAGGTTTTCACCCAACAAACACACTTTGTCATAAAACACAGACCTACACACACAGAGAGAGAGAGAGAGAGAGAGAGAGAGAGAGAGAGAGAGAGAGAGAGAGAGAGAGAGAGAGAGAGAGAGAGAGAGAGAGAGAGAGAGAGAGAGAGAGAAACAACAACAGCAACAACAAAATAACATAAATCAAGTTATCATAAATTGAGTAGAACTATTGTGCCAAAGGCATAGGCTTTAAAGAAAAAAAAACCCTGTGAAATCAATTGCTCTTTTGATGATATTCTCAATTCATAATTTTTTTTACTTTCATCCTTTGATAAAATATTGCCTGCAAGCAACTTCAGTGCAGGATCCATCATAATGTACCTTTGACCGTATTGTTACACACCAACTAGACCAATGAGAAATTAAAAAAGACAGCCATTTTCTCCTGAGGTGGTCTAACATGAAGTCAGTCACTGTGCTGTCAACAGTGGCTTTGAAGGAGGAAAATGTTGGGTGAAGTTCTCCGGAAAACTGCTGACAATTGAGTCATTTTGAAAGTGAAAACTTTCACTTTGAAGTTTGAGGATGGATGCCCTCTGTATGACTGTTCTTAGGTGCTCTTTGAAAGCAGAATATCTTCATCCCCACAGCCAATGTCTGAAACCCTTTTAAAATTTTGAAATAAAAGAAAAAATGTAGGCTTAATTTTTGATAACAAGAAAATGAATGCTGTCAGTATATCTGCCTATACAAAAATGTACTTTAACTGACAGTCCAGTTCAGCTCCGGGTTTGAATAGGCCTTTTCAGGCCTGCATTAAAAACAAGGCTGGTTGCTTGAATGCACAGGGTTCATGAGGGTATAGGCTACTTCATTGATGGTCAAAAACCCTTTTTACCCTATATTACCAATAGCAACTTCAAGTGCTTCAAAATTTTGCTAGATAAATTATTAGCTGCTTAAGTTCTTGAAGGAAATTATTGGTTCCATTTTGTAAGTTCCTCTGAAAACTGAATGGGTCCGATGAACGAACTCTAAAATTTGACTCTTGACTCTATTTTCCTAGCCTTACGACTATTTTCTTTTATAGACGACCATTATTCTTTCACAGCCTACAGTCAAGACGAGGGAAATCACGCATGAATTCATAACAGAGAGAGAAAGAGAGAGAGAGAGAGAAAGAGAGATAGAGAGAGAGAGAGAGAGAGAGAGAGAGAGAGAGAGAGAGGCGGGGATCGACGGCGCAAGAGCGAAACGGAAAATCCGTCTTCGACAATTAAGCATCAGTCTCCGCGCCGATCTGAAGCTGTTTATACGGACACATAGGCTACGGCATCTTATAGAATATGCCTCACTATTTTTTTAAGGGCGAATTGACTGAAAACGAGATGTTTTTGTATAAAGGTTAGTAGTGGAACTTGGGTAGCCGAAGTCTTGGGCGTTTCTCCACTTTTGTTCATTTCTTTTCGAATTGCTAAACAGCCGACGCTGAGCGCATCTGATCTTCCCGAGCTCCCGGCGCTGATGAGGGCTTTGTCGGTGTGATCAGTGCGCGATGGCCGCTTCGGGCGGACAGAAGAGTGAGAAGTTAGATGAAGCTCAGGCTCTAGCGAGGAGTTGCGCAGGGCGACCGGACTTTCTGCCCTGTGATGGACTATCCATCTGCGCCACACACAGCCACGGGAAGTGTTTCAAGCTGCACTGGTGCTGTCATCTGGGCTGGTGCCACTGTAAGTACAAGCATACAGCATCGTTGAGACGTGGATATATACAATTCCTCAAGACTTAAAACAAAGATTTCATGCACAGTCTCAGGGAAATTCTTTTGTTCCCATTTCCCTTCAGTGTTCACGAACGCTGACGTCAGAAAAGAGTTTCTTAGTTTATTTCAGTTACTGAAGGTCTTACATTTGAATATAGTTCACTTAAAAATAACGGTTCTTTATTGGCATGTACACGAAGAACCTTAAACATCTATTGAAAGTTCCCACAAAAGGTTCAGTGGAATTCTTTAAATTAGCCTATTAAAATGTTTTTAACACTTAAGAAAAACTGTTGCAGCTGGATTTGGTTTTAAAATGTAGCCTACCTTAAAATGTAAATTTAGGCTACCGTAGGCCTGCTTTGAAATAATCAGAATAATCATTGATCAACAATAATAAAAAATACACATCTAAGAGGTATTTTTCTTATCAGACATAAAATAGTTATTAATCTGATAACTATGTATTTTGTTTTTCCGGTCAAGACCCTAATAGCATCTGCTTATCACATATTCTCAGAGGGATGGGGAATGTTGCGTTTGTGTCACTTATGAAATATTAAACAAGTCGAATGATGCATAAACATCTTATGATGTACCACCACTGTTTGTGAATGTGCATCTAGTTTCATGCTCTTCTAAGCAGTAATAGAAGTAAATGGGAATACATTAACATTGTCTTTATGATTTTAATGGCAAAAAAAAAGAAAAGAAAAGCGAAATATTAAAAATACAGATACACAGCAACAGCTGCAATATGGTTCTGCATTAAAGTTGGTAATCGACAACTTTATTTATTGTTATATGGACACCAATTTCTGGAGATAACCATGATCAGATGCACCTTTATACCACCGTTGGAGGGAGCTGTTTCTTTTTCAATTATACTCACATACTATCCCATTGCCCTGCTCTAAACTGCTAAATGTGGACTACAGTAGGCTATAAGGCATTATGCATTTTCTGTAACTTGACTTATAGATGACTAATTCAAAGAGACATCTGGGTCTTTATCAAAATATGGTGACAAACCTGTCCCTTGAGATTTCAGCCATGAAAAAGTTCGAGAAATCAATATCATTATATACCCAACTATCACTTAAAACCTAACATTGTTATAAATAATATCCAATGGTTGACTATAATGTTTGTTTAAAAGAAGGGAAAAAAACAATAATTTGCAAGGTGCATGAAAAACCCTTTACACCTTCATCTAGAATGACATTTACAGATAGTTCATTCATGTATTGCTCTTTTTTTCAAGCAGTGCAAGGTCTAGCAAGTTACATTGATTAATGTGTGTTTGACATTTTGTGTAATTAGTTTTAATTTACAAAATATTTAATGGCATTATATATTGATTTTATTTTAATCAGTGTTTTGAGACATTCTTGAAGTCATGTTTTTCCTTTTATTAAAATGTATCACTGATTATAGATGTGTTACAACCCATACTTAATTGGTGAACTAAAAAAATAAAGTAAATCATAATAAGACAAAAACTCAAAGCAAAACTTTACCAGTCAGATGATCAAGACTTTTGAGAATGATCCATTACAGTATCTAACTCAAAAGAAGACTCATAGGGACTTTACAAATGAAGAGAAACTTGCTAAGATTGTACTCTAACACGAGTCACGACTATAATGAATGTGCATTATAGAGGAAGGGCAAGAGAGAGAGATAAAGCTTAGATCAGCCATGGTGTCAGGGGTGTCTGATAAAAAATGGGCAGTCATTGTGAGGCTAACAATGTCATGTGACTGTGAGGGAGGGTGCAGATTCTTTAGATTCCTTCAACCTCACTGTGAAATAATTATCTCAAAATGTGTGTGTGTATGTTTGTCTGTAAGAGAGAGAGAGAGAGAGAGAGAGAGAGAGAGAGAGAGAGAGAGAGAGAGAGAGAGAGAGAGAGAGAGAGAGAGAGAGAGAGAGAGAATCAGTGGGAGCTTTTTAAGCACTTCCCCCGGTTTCACAGCCCTAGACCCGGATTAAAATGCATTTTTTAACTGTTTTAACCGAAAGCAACTTTCACTGACACAATTGAACTAAGGCTAATCCCGGTTTAATCTAAGCCCTGTCTGTGAAACCAGGCCTTAGTAAAAAATCTCATTCTTCTGGGAAAATGACAGTAAAATGAGGTCGCTAATTTTTCGTGGTTTCAATAGGCAGTTGCATTAGGACCGTGTTTCTGCAACAGACTGTCTGGTTTCTTAAGTCTCACTTCCTGTTTAAGATTGGCACAGCATCACTCTGACGAATTATAAAGAAAAGGTTCTGTGAAGCCAGTGTCCACAGTCAAGCAAAACCATTCTTGGCTAAGCTGTGTGTTTGAGTCAACCCCCAAAATCTTGACTTCCCTAACGCCTTCCTAGTTTTAGAACAGAAGGAGAAAAACTGTCAAAAAACGTATGTACCTGGCGTTGTTTTTTCGATTAGCTACGTACAACCCTGTGGCGTATATGGAGCTCTGAAATGAATACATCGAACAGTTTTGCTTCTTTCTGACTGACACATTGAAAAGGAAATTAATCAGGATATGACAGGAAGTTCACATAGCTCTGTCAGAGGTCAAGCGCTAGACTGGCCTTTTGCTAAGTTGGGCTTTTTATCTCAGCTTTAAAAGGTCAGCACAATTTATTCCAAGCTTTAAGGTCTCAGCTTTGACTTTGCTTTTTTAAAGTTCAACCTTTCTCTTTCAGAAAAAAAAATTATAACGGTCAAGTCTTTGAGCTTTTAGCTTCACTAAATTGAGAATGCCAGTTAAATTCCAATTAAATTCCTGAATTTGAATTGATGCAGAATTGCAATATGAATGTAAGGGAATAGAATTAAGAGTGATTGAAACAATAAATAATAAAATACGCTGGGGGGAAAAGCAGACTGTGTAGTTGTGGACATTTTATGATCTATGTGCTGTATAGGAAAATGTCAATATTGCTGCCATTCTGATTCCAATTCAGCATCTTGTAGGGTGTGAGTGTGACTATTAGGAATTATTACATTAGTGGCATATGTCTACCCAGACACAACCACACCACATAACCGTAAGTTCAGTTGTCACAGTAATTAAGCCATTATCTGTTCTCATTAGAGGGAGGATGTTTATGTCTGCAACACTATGAGCATTATGTAAACAACATGCTAAATATTAATTTGATACTGCGTGCAGTGCCGCATAGGCTCTCGGGCGGAACCAGTGCTGTTTAAAATGGATCCTCCTAGGAGCTTGACTGACATTTGCCCTACTTGTGAGCTGAAATGCATGAGTTGTGCCTTCTTTCATGACCCAGCAAAGTTATTTGACACAGAAACTCTTTCAGGTGCTCAGCTAAAAAACACTGATTAGGTCAGTTTAATGATAATTAGAAGACAAGATGATGAGTGAGACACCAGGAGAAAGATATTGTTACTTTTGCTAAATATATAGCAATTCTTTGCATGATTTCATTGTTACAATCAGCTGGGCATTATCCCAAAATAAACCCCAGGCATGGTGATCAGGTCTTAAAGGGTTAGTTCACCCAAAAATTTAAATTCTGTCAGTAATTACTTACCCTCATGTTGTTCCAACCCTGTAAGACTTTCGTTCATCTTCGGAACACAAATTAAGATATTTTTGATTAAATCTTAGAGCTGTCTCACTCCTCCATAGGCTTATATTGTAATTGAAACCTGCCAGCCCAGCAAGTTAGTAAAGACATCGTTAAAATAGTCCAACGCTACGTCAGAACGTAGGCTCACGCTGGTCATGAGTGTGATGCTGGCCAATAGTGAGCCTACGTTCTCACTTTGACTATTTTAACGATGTGTTTACTAACTTGCTGGGATGATGCTATGATTTTGTTTTGAGAGAAGAAAAAGACCACAGAGTGCTAGAGACATGAAACTACAGTACCACAGTATAAGATATTGGTGAATACATTTCTTATACAGATTTTAGACATTTTACATTTCATTGTACAAAGATATCTTTTATTGCAGAATGCAGCTATTGACCACTTAGAATTCTATAGAGTCTGCACATTCTGTATATTTATAAAGATATTCTGTATATTAGCAAAGTTCAGGAGAAACATACAGTATTTAATGCTTTAGACACTTTAAAAAATACCAGCTGTGCAAAAACTGATCCCAAGATACTGTACAATACCATTGCTTGTTAGTCTCACACACAGTGACAATAAGTTTTTGTACAGTATAAAGCCCAGAGGCAGTTAGAAATGTATTTATACACACTTGCTGGAGTGAATAACTGAATACAGATTGGCTTTGTCCTTTGAGATAAGTCTTTTAGAGGAGTTTCTCTGCGAACCCTTGGGAATTCTGATGTTTTCTGCTCTCGTCTTCCTCTTTTTTTTTTTGTGTGTTTGCCGTTTGGGTGCATGTAAACACAGCAGGCATTGTTATTGTTTACCTCCCTAAAGGTTAGCAGAAAGATATGCGTTTCAGGGACTTCAAAACTTATAGGATGCTTTTAAGAGTTCACTAAATCTGCTATTTGTGGTTAGATTTTTAGAAATGGAATTTTATTTCCGTTTGTTAAAATTGTTGTTTTGCAGCCACCAGATGTCTGTGATATATTTAATATGAATGACATCCCTCCAAAGTGCAAAAACATAATGATATGCTTCAGTCCATTGGCATAGTGTGTTGGTGTTCTGGGTGCTGTAATGCTATTCTGTAATTGTCAAGCTCTGATAAAAAAGGAAGTGAGAGTGCTATGTTTCTCCCAGCGGGCTGTAGGGCAGGCCACAGCACATCATTCACTGTGTACTATGAGTTAGCTATGTTTAGTGTTAATAATAACATGTCTCCTCAAACCGTGTCTACACCGGACGCAAGCGGCGCAATGCGACACAACCAAAGACAATAGAAACCATTATAACCAGTGATGTTGTCTACACTGGATGCATAGCGCCGCAACACGACAAATCCCCAACCTTAAACTGATGCCTTGTTGTATTT